TTCTTTTGTTTCTAAAACTCCTTTTTAAGCTTTTCTTAAGTTTTAAGTGGAAGTTCTTATTAGCCACGTTGAAGGCGCCATTATGTTAGGAGCAGTTTTTCCAGCAGCCTGGTCTCACAGCCGTGCCAGCCCCAATAACACACAGAGACTTTGTATTTGATATAATTCTGTTGGCCAGTTACTAGTTTCTTATCGGCTAGCTCTGTCTTAAATATTAACCCATTTATATGAATCTAAGTATTTCTACATGGTCTCATCTTACCAGAGAGAGGGCCTGGACCTCTGCTCTCCATCTTGAATCTCTTCCCTACTCCTTCCTCCCTTCTCCTAGTCTCCTAGTCCCACCTACCTTGCTTTCCTATTGGCCAACAGTACTTTATTCATTAACCAATAAGAGAAACAGAATGACATCTCCCATCAGTTGGAGACACTGGAGCTGCTCCTGGAGATAAAGAGACAGATGGACATATTAATAACTAGTCTTGGGTTACTTTCCCTCATCTGAATACCTTGTCTTTCTTTTATTCAACATTAAGCAAGCACATTCCCTTCAATACGGGACTGTGATGACTTCCCTGAAAACCAACAGATGAGACTCTAAACCTTAGAGACCACAGCCTAAAACTGTAGACAAATGGAGAGAAAATGGCATTGCATGGGCCAGGGCCTAATGCTATAAGGACATATAGTTGCTATAGGCATGATTTCCCAGTGTGCATAGAGTCATGTACCACTAACCGTGGGAACAGGCTGGGAGTTATGCACCCTGAGATGGCTCTTATCATGAGAATGTCCGCGCAAACCACAGTGGGTACAAAGATCACCAATCAAAAGAATCTTAGGAGAAAACTGTCATTGTCATATATGCAATCTGTCCTTAGTTCATCCATCAATGTGACACATGGCTGTAGCTTCTTAGATGAGAAATAAAGGTCCAGACAGCAAGGGGGGCTTGGGGCAAAAGAGTGGAGGCCAGGCAGGGACATGGAAACAGCAGGAGCTTGATTCTAGCAGGTTTTTTGTTTTTCTTTGTGTTTTGTTTTCCCTGAGGAGGAAGTTTGGGGACAGAGACATGTTTATGTCCATAAATTAGATCAAGCTCAAGCTGGGTCACAACTGCTGATTTCTAAGTTTGTGGGAGTCATTCTATGTTAAATATATCCATTATTAAAAAAGTAAATAAAAACAGGAGAAGAAAATTCTATAAGTAAAGACAATAAATTCTCAAACTCAAAAAGTAAAATCTCAATAATCTCCCTGTAATTTTCAATTAGTGGTGTTCTGGATTCTATCTGCACAGGAGAAATCACAGTTAATGGGCTACTGTGAATGTCTTCCAGCTCAGCCTTCAGGGATGGCATGGGGAACCCTGAGGCCAGCCTTCCTTTGCCTCAGAAGAGAACCGGTGAGACACCCACCCTCATACACTTGAGTCCAATATATAGAAGTAAACATGTAGCAATCACAAAGGGGACTTTGACTCTCAATAGTTTTCCTACTGTGAGTGTACCTGTAGCATTACCCAGATCGAACAAGAGATAGTTAGTGACCAGTGTCCCAGAAGTCCCCTCAGAACCTCTTCCAGCTCCACACCTCTCACACAGAAAAATGCAGGCTCATCACTGTCCTGACTTCTAACACTTGTTGGGATCTTTAAGGAAAGCTGGCTTCTCTCAGGCCCCATTTCCATAACCCCTTACCAACATTTGGGTGTTAACATCTGGGCATGTATTTCCCAACTATCCCATTTTAAATATTTCAGATTTACATTCAAAATATAACATTCTTAGGCAAATATTTAAAACCATCTTTTCAAGTAGATGCCTGATTATACTGATCCTCCAAGACAGGCAGAAGGGCTTTGACTGTGGTTGAGTCTGAATCCTGGGGAAACCATGGAGCTGGAGCTGTGACATTTATGCAAATGAGCAAGGACCTAAAGGAGATGGAACCACCCAAGGCTCAGTGCTAGTGCTAGTGACTTTTTTTTTTTTTTTTTTTTTTTTTTAGACAGGATTTCTCTGTGTAGTCTTGGCTCTGTAGACCAGACCAGGCTGGCCTTGAACTCACACATATCTGCCTGCCTCTGCCTCCCAAGTGCTGGGATTAAAGGTGTGCTCCACCACTGTGACTTTTCTTACCACTGTGACCAAATACCTAACAGAAGATTAAGGGAGGGAGGATTTAATTTGGCTTATGGTTTCAGAGTGTCAGTCAATGATGGCTGGGGTGAGAACATAGCAAAGAACAGTTTACATCATAGCAGGGAGGAGGAGAGAGAAAGGGCATGGATAGGAAGAAGCCAGGGCAAGACATGTCCATAGTCACCTACCTTCTCCACTTCCTCCTCTTTACCATCTCCAAATAACGCCATTAGATTAGGTACCCATCAACAGATCCATGAATTCAAGAGGACAGTGCCTTCAGGATCTGCTTGTCTCTAGAGTGTTGCCAGAGCCTTCGGGATCTGATTGTCTCTAGAGTTCCCTCATAGGCATACACAGAGGTGTGTGTTACAAAACCCATTAGCATGTCTTAATCCAAGCTGACCATCAAAATTGACTATCACAGGACCTGAGGAGTGCAAAGGTCATCTTGGCCCCTTAAGAGGGTAGCTCTACAACTGGAAAGGAGAGGCTGGAGGCAGGGGAGTTGCTGTTGATCAAGAAGACATAGAAATGGTGGTGGCCTGTACTGGATCAGCAGCTTGCTTAGGACACTGTTCTACATATGGTTGTTTCAGAATCCATGGCGAAGAAGAAGAAGCTATCTGTAGAATCAAGAGTAAAGGGGAGGAGGTGGCTCTGTTCCTGGTGAGTAGACTTTTTTCCTAGTCCCCTGTGCAGGGTATTCCCTTAGTATTTAGGTAAAGAGCATGGACCTTGGAGCTGGGCTCACCTCTCTTTGCAGGCTCACCTCTACCTGCTATGCTTAGTAGCTGTGTGAATTTGGAAAGTTGACTTCCCTTCTCTGAGTACTAGTTTGCCTGTGAACCAAATGAAAGCAATGCTCTTCCAGGGCTCAGTGGTGGCTGTGGTTGGTCTCTAGAAAGCACTCAGTTCACAGGTAGTGTGTGGCTTATGTTGGTGGTTCTGCTGTAGCATCTGTCTGGACTAGAAAGAGAATGCATTTTCAACACTTGCATCACTTTCATGACAGGTACTGTGTCAAGGTTCCCTCCTCTAGGGAGGAAGAGCAGCATGATAGAGGGATAGAGTCTGTGCAGGGTCAATGTCTGAGCTAAACCCCTCATGAGGATAAGGCTCCAGTGGCCAACATGTCCCTCCAGATCCAGATGCTGTGTCACTATGCTCCCTTAGTTGAGAAAGTTCTTTCTCTTCTCAACCAAGGAGGAGACCATCAGGTAGAAAACCTCCAGCTTCAATGCACACACATACATCACCAAGTTCATTGCCATTAACTATAGAATGTCACCTGCAAACAGACCTGTTGCTACTAGCAGTGGCCATGGCTGATGGCCGATGGCCATTGCCATAGTGTGATGAGTGCAGGAGTCAGAGGGACATGGGCAGGGAGTCCATGTGTACTTCAGGCATACCACTCCACCACTTTGACCCTGCATTTTCATCTAACTGGACTAGTTGTACCCTTCACATGTTCATAGGACAATCATGAGGTTTGCATGAGTTGTGAAGCTGGGATATGTCCATGTCCATACTGCACGTGACACGGGTAGGTTCCCTTCCAGCTATGTACCTACCGCATCCTTCATAGCCTTGTACTGGGGACCTTTGACTAGCTCCACAGCAATGTGGCCATAGGAAAATCTTGATACCCATTTTTCTCTGCTTCCTGCCCCAAGCACCTTCAGCCTCAGACTTCAATTGGACAATTGAGTAAAAGGACAACACATAAAGAAGGTCTGCACACTCCTGCAGAGCTTTTTTTCTCTCTTATTTTTAATTAAAAAGAAATAAGAAAAGCAAACAACACTTCTCAGGGTGTGCTGTGATAAGACACCACAGCCATATAAAGTAATTTACAACACCGAGAGAGCAGTCCCAGAGGCCCAGCTCACAGCCTCCCTGCCCTCCCAGGGCAGAGGACCCCTCCCTTGAGGCCATTGTTTCTCAGACAAGTGTCCACCTCTCCAGGACTATAAAAAGGGACAGCTTATTCTGCTTATTTGGCCTTGTTTCTCTTGGAAGTCCAAGCCATATCTCATTCACTGGTCCATGACACACACACAGGAAGTGGGGATTTACGAGATTTTGTGGGTAGGAGGTACCGGGATGCTGGTTTCGGGGTACATACCATTCTTCTCATTGACCTCTGGCTCTGTTCAAGTTTGGGGGGCTAGGAAATTGAGGCCCCTTATGATACCTGCTAGAGGTACTTTGCTGGGCATCCTGCTGTTAGCTTTCCCTCTTGAGTGGCAGCTAAAGGAGAGTGACTGTGGTAAGCTGATGCAAGAAGAAAAGGGACAGGTGGGGATGAGTCCTGCTCAGCTTGGTGTTGAATTCTGATGGGCAATCAGAAGGCAGTGGGGGGGGGTATACATGCACTTGCCATGACCAGCTTCTTATGCTGACCCTCTCCATCACTGCCTCCTTTGATCCAGTCTTAGAGGGTTACCCAAACCCTGCTTTGACGTTCTTCCTCTGTCATTTTTGTGACCCCGGAAAGGCCCACAACATTCTCAAGCCTTAATTTCACAATCTATTAAATGGAGAGAGTCATGCAAACTTCAAAGGATGACTGGTCATAGTGTGACCATGTCATTAAAAAGTCCATGACAGGACCCAGCACATAGTAAGTGCTCAACAAATGGCCACATCATTGTGGAAAGTTGACACTGGTATGCCCATTGTAGTTATCAAACCTGTGCCGATTTGGATGTGATAATCAGAAGTACTGGACAATGCTCTAGAAAGAACACAGATTCTTCTTAGCTTCCTGTGTTATCTGTGAAGTTCAAATGCCTCATTTCTTGGGGGTAGTGGAGGAGGGCCTGGTCTGGAGGACCTCCATTGTTTCCCCTTGACAGCTTGCTCTGTAGGCCAGAAGCTGTTCTGTCCCTAGACTTCGGTGCCTCCTTCCCTGGGGAAGAGAACACCATTGGTGTTAATGCTATTGTAGAAATGAGGGCTTAACTGGTTGAGGACAGAGCCTCCATAACCTAGATTATTGGTGGGTACTGGGTTGGCCCATTCACCCCCACTCCCATGGCTACTGAGGTTGGTAAGGGGAGTGTAGGAGTTGAAACTCAGTGAACTCTGCCCCATCTTGTCAGTAGACTCCGGGCTCAGTCCTGGTGTGGCCACTGAGCGGCTCATGGGGTTTGTCCCACTCACGTAGGCTGTCATGGTGGAGAGGAAGTTGTTGAGGCACGGGGTGCCCGAGGGGACAGGGGAAGATCGCTTCTCTGGGGAACTGGTGGTGTCTGGTGAGGCAGTGTCTAAGTCCTGAGGCTCTGTGGACTTCGGGCTGCCTGCCAGGAGACTGTTCTCCGATTTCTCTGAAGCCAAGGAGCCTGTGCTTGAGGAAGTGTCTGATTTTCTTTTCCTCTTCCTGCGGAAGTTTCCATTATCAAACATCTTCTCACAGTTGGGGTCCAGAGTCCAGTAATTCCCTTTGCCTGAGACAAAAGTGGGAGATGTGAAGGAAGCAGAGAGAGAGAGAGACACAGGCCTCATTCCATTTGTCTGCAATGTCATAAACTAAAATCAAGGGCAACAATACAAAGAAAGGAACAAAGCCTGGGACAGAAACAGAGAAGTTGCACAGACATCTGCCCACCGTACCATCATCTCTCTCTAAGCACCCCACACACACCCATCTTTCTCTAAGCAAACCCACACTATACATTCCCAGCCTTCTATGTACTCCTTCTGCATGTCTATCTCTAAGCACACTCCTGCACGTCCATCTCTCTCTAAGCACACTCCTGCATGCCCATCTCTCTCTAAGTCCCCCCCCCCACACACACAGAAAGCTCCAGGGAGTTGTACGGAAACACAGCATAAGGCCTAAAGGACTTTACAAGATTGATCCCAGTAAGGGTAAAGTGTTGGGGTGCAGGGATCCAGGGAATGGTCGGTACTGGTTGGGGCTTCTATTTATTACTAACATTCAGGAAAAGCCAGAAAATAGTCTGGACTCCTGGATGTGCATCTTGAAGATGGACTTGAGCCCTAGCTTTTTCTCTTCAGTGACAAAGGACTTTGGATAAATCTCAGTTTTCTGGCCTGAAAAAAATGCCCATTTCCCCGGGCTCGCTAAGGGAAAGGACAAATACTACATGTGTCCAAGAGCCAAACAACTGAGGTGCCACCAAAAGGGATGCCCCAACAGTTCCCTGCTACTCTGAGCTAGAACATGGGGGAAGATCTTGCACAGGATAGTCTCTCCTCTGAGGGACAACTGGATCTGACAAAGGCTGACTTCAAAGGGGACAGAGGCAGTTCTAAACTAGACTTCAGTTCTGGAAACTGGATTCAGGATTATTTTACATTCCTCTCCACAAGTGTCTGTGGCTCATCATCTGAAAGGAACATTCCAAACTCAGAGACAGAGCTATGTTTAAGTCAAGGGCCGTCACTATCACTCCAATCTATGTCACTTTGAGAAGGCAGCTTCATCCTGAATGCTATTTTCCTCATCTGAGCAATGGGTTCACTACGAGACACTCTGCAGGGTGCTGTCAGGATTAAAGGAGGCTCTGTATGGAGGGGATGATACACAGAGCTATGCCATGACCCCATCAATGGTGCCCAAGCAAGCCCAGATCTTGTCTGTTACAGGGGTGACTACGACAAACTTGGTCTTGGCTTGGTCTAGCCCTCCAAGGACTTCTTCCATGCTGGGCACTGAAGCATATGTCAGTCATAGTGACTGGTATATTGAGATTTTGTTCACACAAAGACTGTGCAGAAACAAGTCTTGAAAGACATTTTTTTTTTCAAGATAAGGAAACAGGCTCATCAAAAGCAACCTCCCTGAGACACGGAAGCCTGAATCTGTTTCCAGAGCTCACATTCTCCTCTCCCACTGTAGAGTTAGTTCCTGATAGCCCTTCTCCTAACAGCTCCCAGTTTTGTGGCTACAGTGGCAGCTATAGTTAGAACTTTCTAGAATACAGTTTGGAGCATAAATGAAATAAGTCCTCAGGGATACCTGCAGCCTTCCAACTAGTGGCCCTCCTACTCCTTATGCACTGCTGTCTTACCTGGGTCGTCCTCATCTCGGGGCACCTTCTTGAAGCAGTCATTGAGTGACAGGTTGTGTCGGATGGAGTTCTGCCAGCCAGCCTTGCTCTTGTTGTAAAAGGGGAAGTTGTCAGCCACATACTGGTAGATCTGGCTCAGCGTGAGGCGCTGGTCAGGCGCACCATGGATGGCCATGGCTATGAGGGCTGAGTAGGAGTATGGTGGGCGCACCAGCTTCATGAGCTCCTCCTGAGAGGGGATGGGCAGCCAGCCCAGGTCACTGGGCAGTAGCTGCCTCTGCATGCCATAGGCCTGGGGTAGGAAGGGGTTGGCGTTAGTGCCAGGCAAGTAGGGTGGTGGGGTCATGGCTGGCCCATTGAGCCAGAGGTAGGGGTTAGGGGTGGCCCCGTACTCTCCACCACCCTCGAAGGAGGGGGGGCGCTGAGGGCTGGGCATGCCCTGAGTGTGGAAGAAGTTCTCATAGTAAAGATTCATCTCGGGGGGCTCCTGGCCGATGCTGGGAAACTGGGGGCTGCATCGCGGTGGCGAGGGTGCTGGGAGGTCGAAAGAGCTCATGCTGGGGCTGGGTTCGGGTAGCCAGCCCCCTGCTGCACCTGTGCTCTCGGGAGCTGTCCCTGACAGGTGTTCAGCTGGCCCTGGCCTCCTGTGACTTATACCCCCAGGGCTTGACTGGGTGGCCCCACCCAGGGGCGGTCACCTGCCAGCAGATCCGGGCCAGGACCCGCCTCCCTCTTTTCCTTGCTGGCTGTGGCCTTGGTCTCCACTAATGATACACTAAAGGAGACTTATCACAGCTGATATCCCAAATGGCTTCAATCCTCCCTGCTCACTTTCTCATCATCCCAGCTTACCTTTCTCTTTCCCTGTCATTTTTCTTCCCTCCTCACTTTCATCTTTCTCCCTCTTACCTGTCTTCTCTACAACTTATTCTGTGTTTCTTTGTTTCCCTTCTCTATGTCTGGTTCATTCCCTGTTTCTGTCTCCCCCTTGCATCTTGCTCCCCATTCCTCGTTTCTCCTTTCACCCCTGCCCCTCATTCTCTAACCAATGTCCACCTCCCCCACCATTATGGGCAGCTCCCGCTTTGGTCTTTGGAAGGGAAGATGCATTTTCTGGAATTAGCAAGAAATGCCCCCAGTCCCTGGAGAATGAGAGAGGAGTTTAGTCTCTGGAGAGGACACACACGGCCCCCTCCTGCTCCTAAAACACACACACACACACACACACACACACACACACACACACACACACACGGGCACACAGGCACACAGTGCAGGCAGGCAGAAGGTAGTGGGAAGGCTGCTGTGGACGTGGCCTCAGGATCCACCAAGATGAGCAGCAGGCCTCTTAAAATGACATCAAAAGGGAGAGGATGGGAATTGGATTTTAGGGAGAAATGAGAAAGAACGCCCATGATTCAAGTTTATTTCTAGCTCTAAGGCACAGCAGTCTCTCCGGATTGTTGATCTAACGTCTGTGGAAGTTGTTGTGCAGAGGTCTCAGGCACAGAGGGAGCCGGGCAATACCCAGGCCCCCAGCTGACCATGCCCTTGCCCTCTCTTTCAGCTTCACAGACAAAGCTTACAACCAGGCCTTACAGCTTCCCTTGGCTGCCCAGCCAGGTCTCCCCTTGGGGTTCTTTTGCAGATCCCAGCTTGAAGGTGGCTTGTCCAGCCTCTCTCTTTACACAAACACCAGACTCTGGGCTGGGGGAGTAGCTGGAGGTCTTCTTGTGAGGCAGACGCTTCTTTCTTGATGAAGTTCTGGAAACAGCTGAGCCATCTTTCTCTAGGATGGGGGAGGTGGAGGAAAATTGATGTAAGCTGTCTCTAATACCTCCCACTGCCTTCCAGCTCTGCTTCCTTTTCCTGACCTCTCAACTTCCTCCAGACGCCATGTTTCTTTGAAGCTGAAGAGGAGGGCACCACCGAAAGAGGAGTCTTGCCTAGGTGTCTTGCCTAGGACTTCTCCTCACTACAATCCTGGACGGTTGTACTAGGTCACACGACAAATGTGAGTACCATGGAATTGCTTCCATTTGCAATGTTTGGGGGCCTGCTTGGAAAGGAGGTAATTGTGTGGAAGGGGTTTCCCTAGAGTGCAAGGAGCCCCCTGTCCCCCTCATGGACAGTTAGGGAAAGGGCTTTCCTACCAGGTCTAAACATTAGACTCCAAAATCTCCCTGAGGTTCAAAATTAAACTTGGCATGGTTTTTCAGAACACTAAAACAATTGACGGCACAGTTTTTGTTTAGTCTCTCAACTAGGAACACTTAGCTAGCTGACAGTGGAACCCTGAATTTTCAAAACATACCCCATGGGAGCCCAGATCATGGACAAAAAGCTGTACAATTAACCTTGCCGTCCTACTTTTCAGGGTTCATTTCTCAAAACTGGACAGAGCAAAGTGGTGGTGGGAGGCCTCCGCCATGGTGTTGTTTATTACATCACCATAACAAACTGAAGTTAACAAATGGCCAGCAATGAGGGCTTAGTTAATTTAATAGTACCTCCTCCATATGATGTGGCCTTATGCAGTTATGAAAAAATAGATTGAGGGAGAACAATCACATATTAGTGGACTGGAAAGATGGCTGTGTTTAAGTGAAACTGGGAGAAATGGGCTTCGAAGCTATGTTAAAAAAAAACATGCTTATTTCCATATATATATATATATACACACACACAAATACAAGATATAGAAACATTAATTGTATGGATGGACATGCTCTGTTTCGAGTAGTTTCTAAGTGGCTCAAGAAGCAAGCATGTCATTGCCTTGCTTTGGGGATGAAATGTAAAAGGTCAGAAAGAAGGGTCTAGAGGCGTGGCTAAGCAGTGCAGAGTGTTTGCTGATCTCAGAGGACCCAAATTTAGTTCCCAGCACCTGCATTGGACAATTCATGACTGCCTACAACTCCTGCTTTGCAGAATCCAATGCCCTGTTTAGATTTCTATGGGTACTCGGGTGCATGTGCATACACACACAGCCCCCCCCACACACACAGAGCGACACACACGTAAACGCTCATAAAAAAGCAGTGTTAGGGCCACAGCAAATACAGGTCCTGAGCTCCGGTGGACCCACCTACCAATCCCTTGGGGTGGGGTTGGGGTAATCCTTAGCACATGAGTTAGCTCCTCTCATCCTCAGTTTTATCAGGCGAAAATGGGGGAAAGGTCCAGTACTTAACTCACAGTATGGTTGTGAAGTAAATTGTTTCACATGGCACAGAGGCAATGATGGATATTATACTACAGTCACTAGGCACTTGACACACACAGTCAGGCCCTTACAGAGCTTAAGCCTTGTGTGCTAATTGTTGGCTTTTGGCAGCCAGAGGCTAGGGAAGGAGGGACACAAATTACAATGAAAAGAATGGGGGGGGGCATGTTTGCTGTCACAGATCACATAACCAGACTGCAATATTGGAAGATGATGGGGCTCCCTTTAGGTCTGCTGGCTAGGAGACATTTTTAGAGACATGCACACCTGAGACTCCTAAGTCACACATGGATCTGGTTTCTTTTCCTCAGGCAGTCCAAGAAAAAAAAAAAAAAAAACCTGGCAGATTGTAGGAGTCCTTGTCTGGTACCCAGAGGGCAGTGGGTGGGAACATTGGTCCCTTGCATCCTCATAGGGTTAACCCTTAGACCAGGGGAATCCATTTCTCATTTTCATGAACTCTGGCTCAGCACTGCAGATGGACAGACAGCAGGAGCTGCCTGGCCAAGCCTGGGACTTCTGGGGAAAGAATCAAACATGCCATTTGTGCATGAAGTTGCTTTTAAACCTTTTGAAAATTCCCAGATGTGAAATTCAAATCTGAGGAAACATGTTCTGATTAATCATATGAATAGACGAGCAAACACAGAAATGAAAGATGGAGGAGTAGGTCTGGGCCATCCCAGGGAAGGCTACAGCAGCAGTCAGTTTAATATAGTCCAGAGACACACCCTCTGGAGTGAGAGCGCTCATGTGTTCTGAGCCCCACGTGCCATACAAGGGACAAGACAAGAGAGCATTACAAACACAGGCTTTGGGATTGGACCTGGCTTTGTCATTTGGTTGTTGTGTGATCTTGGCCAAGTTTCCTAATCTTACAAGGCCTAACTTTGTTTATCTATAATGTGGAGACACAAATAGCATCCTCTTCAAGGCAAGTGAAGGAAAAGATTACGTGATACACATAGAGCTTGGACCCTGGAAGCAGTCAAAAGGGCAGATAGTGAGAAAGACAATGCCCGCTTCAGCAGGTCAGGCAATGACGAGAGAGACGGCTCTGGGCAGGAGGCCCAGCATTGTGTCTTCCTCTGTTTGCTTTGGCCATTTGGGAGTGATGCCCCTGGAGGGAAAGAGGAAGGGTCTGGCACAATTTCAGGTGTGTTCCCAGCATTCAACTGGTCCAGGAGCCTGGGGTACCTCATGCTCTGCAGAAAGGGTCAAGTCACAGATACCTGACCAAAGTAGCTGACCAGGGGCAGTCACAGCTGGCCTTCATTTTGAGAGGTAGACTGTCACCTTGTATCTTTAGAGGCCTGACGTCAATTCATCTAACAAGAAGATGGGCCCCTTTAATATGGATTTTCACAATCAATGGTTCCCTTAGTTCTCTGGTCCACATTGTGAAGTGAGGATTTGGCTTTTTTGCTCGGACCAGGGGACAAAGGCACAGGGCAGGTGAATAACCACAAAGACAGACAGAACAGGTGAGAACGGACTTGGCTGCCTGCCATGCACTGGGGCTGAAGCGGATCACATGCCCCACACCCAGGGAGAAGAGAAGCTAGGCTTTGCCATTGGACTTTGAGGTTCACTCTTACATGGACTCCTGAGAGACTGTGATACCTCAGATTGTAGGCCAAAGGTTCTGGACCCCAGTTTCTTCACTGGGAAAGAGAAAAATTCCAACTGCCTCTGAGAGTTGCACCAGTGACTGCAAGGTGGGCATGTAGACATGGTAAAACCCAGTTCTCATTTGGGAGGCAGGAACTCCAGGTGGTGGGGGATGCTGATGTCATAGTAGCAAGGCTCATGGACCTACCTGTCCTGTGCACTTGCCTTTTATGGGGGCTCCAAGGGCTTGTCCTCCTTTCTACCCATAAAACACAAATAGCTTCCCGGGTGTTGAGGAGGTTCTTGGTGTAGAAGTGGGTTGTGATGGGGAGTCAAGGCAGAGACTAGTTTTAAGTTATTGCATTATAGTTTTCCCATCTGCAAGATGGGGATGAGAGTCTCAGTGTTACATACCTGTTCTTTGGGAATGGCTACCCACAAGGACAATCAGCGCCTACCTGGTTCTCTTACCCCACCTAGCCAACAGCACTCACAAGAGCATGTTTTGAGATATTTGGGAACTTGACACTGGGATGATGTCTGTGCCCCAGGGAGAGGTTGGCAGAAGTTTAGCTGGGGTGATCTTCTTGTTGTCTATGCTTTTTCTACTATGCTTAGGATGAAGAAACATAGGTCAATACCGCCCTCTGGTGCTCTTTTCTTTAAAAGCAGGAAAGAGGGAGAACCAATGATTTGGCTAAGTAAAGGCAGTAGACACAAGTGTCAAATGTGGTGTCCCAAGACACAATAAAGAACATTTTATTAAGGCAGTG